CTTTCAGACACTCTGGTAAGCAAATACTTCCAAGCAAATGTGGCCTTGAGTTTATGACTCACCTCTGGATTTTCACCTTTGTCTAATTCTTGGCCTACAAATTTCTTACTATCTTGTTTGCTTTTTGATGCCTTTGAATTTTGTCTCTTTATGATTTGTCTTATTGTCAGCTTTTTAATTAATCATTGGTGGGACGGTTAGTTTGAATTATCTACCTTGCTGTACCATGAGGCAGAAACACCTACTTTATGTTTTTCACATATGTTTCTTTTATTTGATTTTGGAGAGATTCCATAGCTGTGCTGTCCAATATGGTACCTCTTAGTCACATGTAATTGTTGAACACTTAAAATGTGGCTAGTTTGGGGCACCTGAGTGGCTTAGTCTGTTAAATGTCTGGGTCTTGATCTCAGAGTCATGAGTTCAAGCCCCACATTAAAAAATTGTGACTAGTTTAAAATGTGCTGTGAATGTACAATATTTAATAATTTTACATTAATTACATGTTTAAATTATATTTTGGATGTATTGGGTTAAATAAAACATTAAAATTCGCTTCACCTTTTTACTTTTTAATGTGACTATTAGAAAATCTGAAACTATGCATATGCCTTGCATTTGTGGTTTGCATTATATTTCTGTTGGGTAGTATAGCTATATAGAAAAATTGTTGAGAACATATGCTCTGTAGCCTGGATTTAACTCCTGGCTGTACTTTTTTGCTAGAAGTATAATCCTAGGCTTTTTAAAAAAATGTCTTGCTTTAATTTTCTCTTCTGTAAAATGAGGATAAAATAAGGTAAAAGTAAAATAAGACAGAAAAGGTAAATACATAGTACAATGGACAACTTACAGTTTTAATAAAAATATAGCCATTATTTGTGCTTTTGATACTATAGTATCAGATTTTATAGTTCAGTGGGTGTTTTCTTTCTTTCTCTTAGTATTTTCCTCTCCACCCTTAGTAATAGAATTCTGGACACCATAGTTTGGTGGGGGACATAAATGTATGTGCAAATTTTATAAAATAGGAAGAATATGTCATAGGCAAATGTTCATTAGCTGCAGAAACTTAAATGCTTCTCCAAGATAGTACTGCCTAAAATATTTCTATATAGTTCAGAAAGGAATTGTACAGCCAAGAGTTGGTGGTTTGTTAGAAATAATACTGTTCCAGCACTTGAAAACTGGACACTAGGCTTAATTCTACCACTGTGTTCATCTGGAGTCCATTTTCCCTCTTGTAAAATGATAAGGTTGGACTGGATGATAACATAGGCCTATATGTTCTGTGATTTTTCCATATTAATGCTTGCATATCACATATTTTTAGTTTACAGTTATCCTTAGGTTTTTTAGTTCACATAAGAGTGACAGATGATTAAAGGAAGTATAGAGTCATGGCAGGATAGAAGCACATTTTTATTCACCCAGAACATCTTACAAAATGCACTAGGCTGTAGCTAAACTCTTCTTTCCAGAATTGTTTTTGATTTTACTAGAATAAAATGGGTCTTTTGATTATATTAAGGAAATATATATATATATACATATATATATAAACATATGAATATATGAATGAATGTATATGAACATACATATTATTGAACATATATATGAATTATGGTTATAGTTTAATGGGAAGGTAGCTGGACTTTTGAGAATACCTGGGTTTTCATAAAAATCCTAGAAGAGAGCAGCACAGGCAGTAATTTTTCTGACATTGATCATAGCAACATTCTTCTAGATAGATCTCCTGAGGGAAGGGAAATAAACTGTTGGGACTACATCAAAATAAAAATCTTCTGCACAGTAAAGGAAACAGTCAACAAAACTAAAAGGCAGCCTACTGAATGCAAGAAGATATTTGCAAATGACATATCCAATAAAGGATTAGTATCCAAAATATAAAGAACTAATACAACTCAACACCCCCAAAACAGATAATCCAATTAAAAATGGGCAGAAGACATGAACAGACATTTCTTCAAAGAAGACATCCAGATGGCCAACAGACACATGAAAAGATACTCAACATCACTCATCATCAGGGAAATGCAAATCAAAACTACAATGAGATATCATCTCACACTTGTCAGAATGGCTAAAATCAAAACACAAGAAATAAGTGTTGGTGAGTTTATGGAGAAAAAGGAATCCTCTATGCACTGTTGGTAGGAATGCAAATTGATGCAGCCACTATGGAAAACAGTAAGGAGGTTCCTCAGAAAGTTAAAAATAGAACTACCCTACAGTCTAGTAATTGTATTACTGGTTATTTACCCCCAAAATACAAAAGCTCTAATTTAAAGAGATACATGCACCCCTATGTTTATGGTGGTATTATTTAAAGTAGCCAAATTATGGAAGCAGGCCAGGTTCCCATGGATAGATGAATGGATAAAGAAGATGTCACACACACACACCGGAATATTATTCAGCCATTAAAAAAATGAAATCTTGCCATGTGCAACACCAGGGATGGAGCCAGAGAGTATAATGCTAAGTGAAATCAGTCAGAGAAAGACAAATACCATCTGATCTCACTGATATGCGGAATTTAAGAAACAAAACAAATGAGCAAAGGAAAAATGAGAAACCAAGAAACAGACTGTTAACTCTAGAGAACAAACTGATAGTTACCAGAGAGGAGGAAGGTAGGAGATGGGTAAAATTGGTGATGGGGATTAAGGAGGGCACTTGTGATGAGCACTGGGTATTGTATGGAATTGTTGAATCCCTGTATTGCACACCTGAAACTAATATAATACCGTGCTGAATTAAAATGAAAACGTAATAAAAAAATACCCGGGTTTTAATTGAGCTTTGCTGCTAGACAAAATTAAGTAAATCCTTAACAAGTTTTCTTTGTTCTGATTTTTCTGTAATGTAATAATGTGGAATGTAATAATACAGGATGTAACACCTCACCCAGAATAGGTACTTGAGAAATAAAAGAAATTAATACATTCTGTCCTGTTATACAGAATTTGCATTAGTACCTGTGAAAGTGAGATAGGGGAGAAGAATTAAAATATTATGTGAGAAATATTAAACTATATTCCTTTTTTTAAGATTTTACTTATTTGAGAGAGTGAGTGAGCGAGCGAGAGTACAAGCTGGGGGAGGGGCAGAGGGAGAAGGAGAAGCGGACTCCTTGCTGAGGAGGGAGCCCGATGCGGGACTTGATCCCAGGACCCTGGGATTGTGACCTGAGCCAAAAGCAGACTCTCAACCAACCTAGCTACCCAGGTGCCTTAGAATATATTCTAAATTTTATGATAAATATTAGAGAGATCATCATTTTTCAGAAGTATCATACTCATATCATTCTTGCAAGTTCTATTTCATTGTCAAAGAATAGTTGGTTTTTATGTTTTTCAAAGTATAGTCCACTGGAAAACATGGAAGGCTCCCCAGTTCATTCTGTGAAGCTAGCACAACCTTGAACTTGTTAAAGTGAATTTAAATCTGGTAAAGATAATATAGACACACACCATTCATGTATGCACACACTAGCACACACACATATAGACGGACATGTGTTGAAAGTCCAAATAAATTATTAACTGATTGAATCCAAAAAATTATATGTGTTATCAGGAAGAGTTTATCTCAGGAATGTAAAGATGGCATATTTTATGAAACCTACCCATAACTCATCAGCATATTAGAGGAAAATTGATGATTATGTCAGTAGATGATTCTAAAAAGAGTGAGAAATCACTTGATATAAATCTGACAGCTATACTCTGAAATGCAAATTGAAGCAACAGTGAGATAACATGTACTGGCAGTATGTGGGGAAATGGGCACTCATACTTCAGTGGTAGCATGAATTGTTACTTAGAAAAAACTGACAATAGCTATTGAAATAAGAATGCACATGATATGGGCGCCTGGGTGGCTCAGTGGGTTAAGCCTCTGCCTTCTGCTCAGGTCATGATCTCAGGGTCCTGAGGTCGAGTGCCACATTGGGCTCTCTGCTTGGCAGGGAGCCTGCTTCCTCCCCTCTCTCTCTGCCTGCCTCTCTGCCTACTTGTGATTTCTCTCTGTCAAATAAATAAATAAAATCTTAAAAAAAATGCACACGATCCTTTGAGTACTCTCACTTTTGGGAATCATTTTTACAAGATGTAGTATATAGCATATACTATAATACTAATATATATATACAATTATGGTGTGTCAGGATATATTCAAGGACTTCTGTTTTGGAAACAACATGAATGACTGTTGATCATTTGCAGGGGTCATTGAATAAATCATTTTACATCTGTACCATGGAATATGGTACATTCTTTTTTTTTTTTTTAAGATTTTATTTTTTTATTTGACAGAGATCACAAGTAGGCAGAGAGGCAGGCAGAGAGAGAGGAGGAAGCAGGTTCCCCGCTGAGCAGAGAGCCCGATGCGGGGCTCGATCCCAGGACACCGGGATCATGTCCGAGCCGAAGGCAGAGGCTTTAACCCACTGAGCCACCCAGGCGCCCCTGGTACATTCTTTAATCAAGAAGAATATCCATGATGATACTGTTATATTATTGGGGTGAGGAATAACAAATTATAGATTATTGCAATGTAGTCCATTTTTTTGTAAAAAGAAGGAAAGTCTATATGTGTTAATGTTTTCATGAGCAGTGGGAAATGTGTGGAAGGGACTGGATTAAGAGAGGAAGTTGTATTGGTGAAGGGGGAAATCATTTTTTCTTCATATGTCTACAGCGTCTGATTTATTATGAAGAGTATCCGTTACCTTTGTAATAATCACATTTAATGAAGGAAAAAATGCTAAATAAATTCAAAGCATGAAGATATGAGTTCTTAAGCTCTGTTTGGCTAGAGACATGAAAAATAGAACAATGTTATGTATACCTTCTGTTGTAGAGAATACTTGAAATCATTTCCATTCATGACCATTATCATAGGTTACCTCTGAAAATGAAGGTATTTTAGATTAACAGATGGTGGCTTTAATGATTTTTTTTTTTCTTTTATAGCAACTCCGTTCCAATATCCGAGAAATGGAGAAACTTTGTTTGAAAGTCCGAAAGGATGACCTGGTACTTCTGAAGAGAATGATAGATCCTGTTAAAGAAGAAGCATCAGCAGCAACAGCAGAATTTCTTCAACTCCATCTGGAATCTGTAGAAGAACTTAAGAAACAGTTTAATGATGAAGAAACTTTATTACAGCCTTCTTTGACCAGATCCATGACTGTTGGTGGTAATGTACTAAGTCTTATTCTTTGATCATAGTAATGCAGTTCATTAAAGTTTACTATCTTATATAGCTCCTGCAGATACATAAGTTTCCATAGATCATGTTCTTTTTCAGTTTGTTGAATTCTTGGACCTGGAGTGTGTCTTGGTATGCATACCCTAAAAGTTTTGTAGGATAAATATTTTGAAGCTATGCTGTATAAAGTGGAACTTCTAGGCTTCAAGTACCTATTTGTCTATGTATTACAAATAAAAGTTGGGGCGCCTGGGTGGCTCAGTGGGTTAGGCCTCTGCCTTTGGCTCAGGTTGTCTCGGGGTCCTGGGATCGAGCCCCGCATCGGGCTGTCTGCTCACGGAGAGCCTGCTTCCCGCTCTCTCTCTGCCTGCCTCTCTGTTATCTCTCTCTCTCTCTTGTGATCTCTCTCTCTCTCTCTGTCAAATAAATAAATAAAATCTTAAAAAAAAAAAAAGTTAAAATATTCCCTAAGGAGAACGTCATTCTTGATTTCAGAGCATGCCCCCTTCATGTCCAGGTACAGGAGTAGCCTAATCAGGCATGCCTCTTTCTTTGGCATTCTGATTTTCTTTCATAGGGTATGTTATATCCACAAGCTCAGTTTTCTGAATTTAACTGAGAACACTAAAAAATATGTATCTGCATTGGGGGTTATGCTATCAGCTTTTATGAAGTGATACTCTTAGAAACAGTCCAGCAAAACTTGTCATATTTTTTAAGGATGTAATTGATCATTGTTAATTGCATTATAGTAATGCTTTTATAAGGAACCCTGAAAAAAAATTCTTAATTTAATATATAATAGTACTTGAAAGCATTTGTCTTTTTTTAATCCTGTGGGTATTGGATGGCTTAACTGATAAGGTTTCTCTACTTGAGTTATTTACTGGAATGCTGACATCTGAATATTTTTAACTACCAAAAGCCAAAATTTTTAACTGTCCTGGCTTTATTTTATCATTGCTGTGCTCATATTTCCTTTTTTGTTTCTCTTTTAATTTATGTGATCTTGTTAACATTTTATATATGTTCTAAGATGCTTTAAATCTTAATGGTAAAGGTGGGGTATAAATATAAATTAGAATCCGAGAGATGTTATACCTGTCCAGTTTTCATCTATGTAGGAGGCTCCATTCCCTGTCTCCAAAACCAGATCATTTTTTAACATTTTATTTTGCTGCTTATGATTCAGTAATGTATAGGGAACTTGAAATTTAAAAAAATTAGGGGAAACAGGCCATCATCCACAGTTCCTTGGTAATCTTGCTTTTCTTGTATCCTTAGTACCTAGCACATAGTATATAGTGCTTGGCACATAGTGGACCATATGTAAATGTTTCATAAATGTGAATGAATAAATATCTTTTTAGAGACAGTTTTGTAATTTCAGATGCACTATATTCACTACACTCTGTGGATAACCAGTACCTGAAGTGTTTTGCAGAGAAGGAGATGTTAGCACTCAGCCCCTCAGTTGAAGAATATTTGGGAAGATTGCTTTTGATAGTTTGTAGTTACTGTTTACATTATTCTGTCCATGTATATTTACCACCACCATATATTGATTAGGATAAATGCTGCTTATATTACTTAGTGTGAACTGATACTTGATGTGCAAGTATAGAGAAGCAGCTGTCCTGCTTAATCACCTGGACATTGTGACAGTATCTAATCACCCAGACTCCTTAATTACCTAGACATTGTAACAGTTGTGATGGTGGTAACAGCAGTGAAGATAGGCTGGAATTTCTGGAGTTGCTGACATCAAGTCTCTCTTGCTATTTAGTTTTGAATTGCCCATCACCAGCAATTCCCTAGCCAAACAAAAATTTTGAGTTCTGAGAGTTTCTCACAATATAATACTATTCTAAAACTTGCTTTAATTTGCATTTTATTATTGCATTGAGTTTCTGCCAGTAGGACTGTTTGGGCTCAACAAACTTGGGTATATATATCATCAGAGGAACTGGGTGATTATTAGAAGAAGGCAGTTGAACAGTTTGCTGGCAATTAAATTTCTCTGTAGGAAGCTGACTGGTGTTAAAATATATGGTGTTATATATTTATGTATATATGTATATCCACACACACATATACACACACATATATAATATATATAAAATCAATATTTGAGGAAGCATGTATAGAGAACATGAAAAAGATTGAAGCAGAGCTAGAGGATGAAGGAGATGAAATGAAGAGATTCATTTTCCAACTCTTGATTCTCAAATTTTTCAATTTCAGATTAGCTAATCAACATCAGATTAGCTGAAGACCTAATAATTACTCACCCCTGGGAGAAACTACAGGATTAAATCTCCGTAGCTAGTGCTGACTTGATTGAGACAGTAATTCTATTTATAAAATACCTAAGTTACACCTAAAACAATGTATAGAATTTAAAATTCCAAATGGTGTACTGGTGAAATTGTGCTTTGATTTTGAATCCATTGTGAACATTAAGTAGTTAAAATGAACGTCTCACTGAGTGCCTGAGTATTTCACCAAATGTGAGAGTTTCTACTAGGTTGCCTTAAATCCAAAAATAATATTAACAAATAATTGAGAGGATGGGAAAGAAAAAAACAAAGCAACTAATTTACATAAGACGTTAACAGTGGGGTGGGAAGTGAGTTTGCGGCATGGGTGTTCTACTAGTTGTGGACTCTTTTTTGTCATTCTACGTGTTTTTATCCTGTGCTTTCTGGTTTTTCTTTGTTTTTGCTTTAGGTACTCATTATAGTAGTGACAGCCTATACAGAAAAAAATGTGTTCGATTTGCATAGAAGTTAAGTGCCTTAAAATACTTCTTCCTTTAAAAATTCAATCTGATTCTAAATAAATTGGTTGGAAATATCAGCAGAGATTCAGGAGCAATGTTGCCACATTTCCATGAGTGAGATCAAAATACAAAAATAGTTTTTCATTTACAGATAGAAATAACAAGTAGAATAGGACGTTTTATGTTCTGGGGAGAGTAAAGGAAGCTTATTAAGTTTCGGGGGAAGCTGTGATGATTTTGCTGCTGCTTTTGTCCAGATTCTGAGAGTTCCTAAAGCAAATCTTCTCTGCCAATCTTGCTTGATCTGAGAAACTCCCTTCTGTCTCACTTGTGTGTCTGGTTTCATTTTTAGCATATTGCTTCCAACCAAGAGAAGTGATGAACCTACAAATTTGATTTGTATTTAGAAAGGTATATCAAGTTATATAGAGTGAATCAGTGCTTCTCTTCATCTTTGTCTTTCTTACTCCCCATCCAACACATAACAGTTCACCAGTGCAATAGGAACAGAATCTTATTACATTTTAAACAAATATTCACAAAAGAAAAGAATCCAATCTTAAAACCTTTGGGAACTTCAGATCATGTATTGAATTTGATGAAATATCAGATTTTATCACAGGTATATATATGCATGTAGTGAACAGTTTTGTGAAGAACGTGGATAGTTTTGTATATTATTCAGAAGATATGTTTTCTGTTGGTTTTAATTTTCTTAAAAATCCTCTTTTGCGGCTAAGTCAAGCCATGATTTAGAAGTCATTTTATTTTGATAGATAGGTTGGTATAGATGATCAAGAGATTAATTTCACTATTTTTAAGCTGTCAGAATATGAAAAATTCAGGAAATGCCTTTGAATTAATTTAGACTTATAATGAAACTTTTCCTAACATTGAAATTTAATGGAAATTTCTTACACGTTGTGTTATAATTCTTAGTTAGAATCATTGCCTTTCATGAAATACAGAGAGAAAGACAAAGAAAGAATGTTTGCATGTATGGAGACAAAGAAAAAGTCTTAGATCTGTGTTATTAGCTTCAACTAAAAAGATCTTCATGTTTATATGAGTTTGTAGTCAATAATAAGGTCTTAAAACTAGAATTTGAAAAACAGTGGGAAGTGATATATGTATTCTTCATGCCCTTTACACTTGGAGTTGTTTGCATTTGGATGGAACTATCTTAGATTATTTCATCATATAAAACAATAGCAATTTGACTTCTGTGCACAGGGTGAGTTCTTCATCCTTCTTTCCTGCAGCTATAATCTGTCTCAGTGTTTTCCCTCATCGTGTCTGTGGCAGTTCCTAAAAGTTCAAAGTCAGTGGATGTTCACTGAGGTAGTGATTTCTAATATAAGCTAGAATAAATGAATTATGGAAGTTGGAGAAATTAAAGGGTTTCTTTCTTAATTGTTAGCTATGCCTCAAATTGATTAGTGATGTTCAGAGTTGTAAGTTTACAGCAGGATTTTCCATGGAATAGAACAGATTTCTTTGTTCTAAGACTTCATTTGAACTAAGATGCATACGCAGTTTGGTTTCAAGTGAGACGTAAATGACTTAAACACTTTTACCGGGGTAAATCTTTTATGTTTGCTTAAAATGCCAAACATTTCCCACCCCTTCTTCATTCTTTTAGATAAAGAATTTATTTATGACAATCTCCCCTCATTTTGTTGTATACCCTGGCATACTTCATTTAAATCCTCTGTAATAGTATAAAGGCTATGGCTTATAAAAATCCTTTAAGTGGATGTTGTAATTATAAAGTTCTGCTTTACATTTGGTCTGTTAATGATAAAATTATCATTATTCATCATCCTCTTAAAGATGTTGGGGTTATTACAATAGAAATATTAAGTATAAGCGGTCTTAGAATAATTCATTTATCTTGACTGATGTGAAAATGGAAGTATCTTCACGTGACAAGTTAGAACATAAGGTAAGTAACTCTTTTAAACATTTGTAAAAAATAAGAGAGCTTTTAAAATATTGGATACTTGCCATAATGTTGTAATGTAAAACTTACTCTAATGTTTTTGCTCTTCCTTTAAGATCAGGAAATGTATTCAGATAAGCTAAATTTCAAAATTAAAAGAACACTATCAATCCTGATAAGCCTACAAAATATTTTAGTTAATTGATTATACCCTTCCTAAACAATTCAAGGAGATTCTTTTCCTTGAGAAGTAAAAACATTCGTAAGTTTCAAAAGTAAAATAGCAATGCAATTTTATAGAATATGCTAGGATGAAAAAAATTGAGAAGATGAACTTAAGAGTTATGACTTTTAATAGATCAGGTGTTACACATCATTATATCATGTCCTTGCATGTAACACTTTATTATCTCTGGACTGTCAGCCAGATAAAGTCCAAAGTCTTTAACTAGTCTACAGTAAGGACCCTCCTAACCATCTGTGTAATGTTCTGTGTTTGTAACTTTGTGTCTTTTACTTTATTCTTTGACAAGACCAACCTGCTGATTTTATGTTAAGTTTTATTTTTTCTTCTCTGAGGGCCTTTTTTATGCCGGTCTCTCTGTGTAGAATTTATATTCCTGTTTTCTTCGTCTCATAAGATCACCTTTTCTGGGGAACCTGGGTGGCTCAGTCGTTGGGCATCTGCCTTCGAAAGGCTCAGGTCATGATCCCAGGGTCCTGGGATTGAGCCCCACATCGGGCTCCCTGCTCAGCAGAAAGCCTGCTTCTCCCTCTCCCACTCCCCCTGCTTGTGTTCACTCTCACTGTGTCTCTCTCTGTCAAATAAATGAATAAAAAAAAAGCTTTAAAAAAAATCACCTTTTTAAGGAAGCTGTCTCGTAAACTGCACACCACACCAAGCTGGGTCAGATACCTTCCCAATTAGACTCTTACTGTTTTAGGATTGTCTCTATGTATGTCCGACTCTTCTAGAATATAAGTTCCTTGAGAACATCTCTTTTGTATTATTCATTTTCTCATCTCTGGTACCCAACACAATATGTAACAGGTACCAGATAATATTAAAGTGGTAGGTATTTTGAGCTTGAAGTAAGGGGGACAAAAGGAATTAGACCTTCCGATATCTTCTTTCCGTTTCCAGTGCCACTGTCCTAGAGCAAACCATCATCATTTTGCACTGGACATACTGCAAAGCTTCCTGACTGGTTTTTCACTCTGTGATTTTTTTTTTTTTAATTTCTTTTTTACCTTTCAACTTCATCCTTGATCTGTTCTTCACACTATAGCTATGGTTCCCTTTCTAAATCTAATCTGGTTATAGCACCCTCCAGCTTCCCAGTAGTCTCCAACTCCTTTTAATAGTTCTCTATTGATCTTAGAGAAAAACAAAATTCTTCAGCATAGTTTATAATACCATGAATAATGTCACCTTTGATTTCCTGAAAAGCTCAGTCTTTGCTTTTCTCTTTCATAGTCTGTATTTCGTTTGAATTCTTTCCAGTTCCCAAACCTATGCACATATTATTTTCCCTGACCTGAATACTCTCTGCTTTTCCCTCCATCTTTGCCCCCAGTTCACCTATGTAATTGCTGTTCATCCTCAGGCTTCTGCTTCAAAACCTCCAACTACTCTCCCCTCCCCAAGTCTAGGTTAAATACCTCTCTTCTGTACTGATATAGTGTTCCATATTTACTCATATCATAGTTGTTATCAGGCTATTCTGAACTTGCCTGTTAATATATTGTACATAATATGGTAAATTCCATTAATAATAGTAGCAATAGCAATAGTTAGTTATTATAGTAGTAACTATTAAGCCACTTATACTCAATTTTTAAGCCAGCCACAGTGCAAAATAAATACTTATCACCTTATTTTATTCTTTTTTAAAAGTTTTATTTATTCATTTAAGTAATATCTGCACCCAACATGGAGATCAAACTCACAACCCCAAGATCAAGAATCACATGTTCTTCCAACTGAGCCAGCCAGGTGCCCCTTTCACCTTATTTTTTAAAAAATGAGGAAAATTAGCTAGTCATTAGCTAAGTCAGGATTCTAACCCAGGTCTTTCTGACTAGGCCCATGCTCTTAACCATTGTACTATGTTGACTCCCTGGAGCTACTTTTGTGGTTTACCATTGTGTCTGTGCTACCTGAGTACACTGATTGGCATTTAGTGGTCATTCAGTCCATATCAGTTTAATGAATGAATGGTTGGTAAAACCAATACAAGGAAATAAAGACTTGAAGATGGGGTTTGGAGTGTAAATTAATTCATTATCATACCAGTTTTACTGAGGAAGGCCTTAGGGGGTTGATGACTTTTTTAAAACTCAGGAAAGAAATAGAAGTAATGGAGAAATGGGCTAGAAAAATGACTCTTAGAAGAAAGATGTACAAAAAGATCCACACAATAAGAGGTGTTCATTTGATGACAGATATATTGTTACCCCAAATGACTGTGCAAAAAACATCACTTTCCTACTTTTAATCATATATGAATCTGATACTTATTACTAAAATCCCCAAAGAAAAGGTTAATGATTTACATTGCAAGTGTGAAACCTATTTCTAGTGGGTATCTCTATATGGAATGTTGGCCAAATAGAATAGTTTTCCTTCAGTGCTTCTTCCTCACTGAGCTCTAGTTATTCAGACTGGGTGGATGGCATCTGTAGCCGTTTTTGTGAGATGACTTTGTAGAATTAAAGAAAAAAATATTTGTTAACCTGGAAACAATCTGCCCATAGATGTATCTATTTCTACGGAATAATCAATTTACTTCCAGCCTGAATTCAGTTAGCTAACATTTTACATGGGAATTGTTTTACAAAATTGATTTATGCTGTCTGCTTTCTAACAAAGCTCATAAACCCTAAACATGAGGCTGTGTTCATCCAGGAACATTTCACGCTGCTGAGGCTGAAGCCGATCCTCAGAATATGACTCAGGTATATGCGTTGCCTGAAATTCCTCGAGATGAAAATGCTGCAGAATCATGGGAAACCTTAGAAGCGGTACGTTAAAAATTATTTTCATTTTGGTGGCTGTGAGGCAAAAAAGTAAGTAACTTCCTTTTCTTCTCTCTTTTTAAGGACTTAATTGAACTTAGCCAACTGGTCACTGATTTCTCTCTCCTAGTGAATGTAAGTATTAGAATTGTTGTTAGCTCAGAGATGTTAGATTAATAGGATAAGAAACTTTTATTAATTCCTACACTTTTGATTAGAAGTTTAATAGAAGTTACAATTTTTAAGTGTTGAGCCATGGATAGAAGTCTAACAGTTCTCATCAACAGTCCAGATCAATTTAATAAACATTTATCAAGCATTTGTTACATGGAAGGTACTGTGTTAAATCTTGGCACCAAGGGTCTGACAAGGTTAGCTATAGGAATAAATGAGGCCTCTTCTCTGCCTTTAAGGATTTATAGTGGTTGTGGATAAGTTTGGACCCCCAAAACTGAAATTTCAAGCATGACTATTAAGTGCAGAAATGAGGGATGAAGGGAAGTATTATCAGCTCTAACAGAAACATTTAATTCCAAGGGAGGGCGGTAGGGGTTGTGAGGTAGAAACATTAAGGATAGCTTTACGAGATAGGTAGCATTTGCTTGAGCCTTGAAAACTGAGTAAAATATGCACAGATGGGAGTGGGGAAGGCGGCACTTGAAAACAGGTGAACAAAGACATGGAGTAGAGAAGTGTATGGCTTTCAAGAATGACAAAGCATGAGATACTATGGGCAGGCAAAGTAAGGAGTGTGAGGGCTTGATTGAGATGGTACTGAGGGCCATACCAAAGAATTTGAACTTTAGCTTGTAGGCATTAAGGAGTTGATATAGATTTTTGAGCAGGTTAGAGTGATATGATCCAGTTTGGTTGAGAAAGATTACCTTTAGCAGGGGGAGATAATAGGCAGGATGACTAGTTAGGAATAAGTAGCAAGAGACTCACCAAGAACAGGGGTGCCTGGGTGGCTCAGTTGCTAAGCAGCTGCGTTCCACTGAGGTCATGATCCCCGAGTCCTGGGATCCAGCCCCACATCGGGCTCCCTGATCAGCAGGAAGCCTGCTTTTCCCTCTCCCCTGTTTATGTTCCCTCTTTAGTTGTGTCTCCGTCAAATAAATAAAATCTTTATTAAAAAAAGTTTTACCAAGAACAATGGCAATACAAGGTATAAAGGTAAAGAACAGCTGAGAGGTATTTCTGGGATAGGCTTAGAAACTGGAGGAAGATGGAAGAGTCAAACATTAAGGTTTTATTCTGCATAATTGGGTAGCCAGTGATACTGTTAACATAGATGAGGGAACATAAAGTAGGATTTGGTGGGAAAGACAGAATAGGTTTTCTGTCATTTTTTTTCTAAGTTATTCTTATGTTTCCTTCCCAGGAAGTATGGGAAGGTTGGATGTTTATGTGTGTGTCTGTATGTACCTATAGGAGGAAACCTGTGTCGGCTCATGCTTCTGTCTAGGCTTAGTTCTTTGTTCTTGACCAAACTGTGATCTGGGGGTTTTACGTCTTTGAATTATGGTTTCCCTGACATCTGGCTTTCAAGTATAAGAAGTCCCTGGATTACATAATCTCAGAATGGAATTAGACTGAATTTATGAAGCCAGCTAATCTATTTCTTCTGTTCTTGCCCCAGCTTCTCATAAAGATGGTTTTTTGCCTTTTTTTGAACAATTACAGTGCAGGGATAATTTATACTTCAGCCATTCTGTTTGGAGACTCTCTTTGCCTCTTAGAAGTTCTTCCTTATATAAACTCTGCCCTACAGTAACTTCCCTCTGGTACTTTTGCCCACTTGGAGCCGTACACAGAACAAGTTTTGTCATCTTTCCATATAAAATTTTTCAACTTTTTGAGACCAATATTACCCTTCCTCACCCTACCCAACCTCACCATATTTTTTTTCTTTTAAGAACTCTTAATTCTTTAATGTGTTCCTTCTAGAATATGATTTTCTAGACTTTTCAATACTAGTCCCTTCATCTGTTTGTTTTCTAGTTTTTGTATTTTTTCTTGAAATTTAATGCCTGAAATTGAACATCAGTAAATTTTTTAAAGCATTTTCCTTTTTTGATGCTGCTAAATCAGAAGTAGAAAAATGCTTGAAGTTTCTGGATTAAGTATCTCTGTAATCTATCCATATACTTGCATATAAAAGGAAATGATACAAGAATCCCCAAATATTTGTTGTTTCAGAATAGAGATTTTTCAATTATTCTAACTCTCTGATATAATGTAGTTTGTAAAATCTGTACATGATATCTACACATTAAATGTGTGAGTTATAGTGTAGGTAAATTATACCTCAATTAAGTTGATTTAAGAAACAAACAAACATGTACAAAGTTCGTCTCATTCCAGGCAAATACATTTCCCTTCCAGAGGGATAGGCACATGAAAGAAAAATTGAGGGCCTGTGGCCATTTAATAATTATATATCCGATTAGCTTACGTAAATAGCTCCTAACCCCTAATCTAAGGAAGATTTGTGTAGGAAGACTTTGGCTATAGCCATAGTTCTATACAAATGTCCTATTTATAATAATCTGTGTGAGGACATGGAACAGAATGTATTAGGCAAAAGCTCAAAGGAGAACCACTGATTACTATTCCCAGGGTGATTGAGTTCCCATGACCACATGGTCAGTACTCACTCACAGAAGCTCCATTTAGGCACCAGTGACTTGGGAACACAAGCACAGTGACCACATCCTTGTCACATGGATATGATAGTATCTAGACAAATTAACCATGTATTTTTGGAGTACTTTCTATGTGCATAGGACTGTGCTAAGTAAGCTCAGTGAAGACTAGAGAACAGTTTAAAAAAAAAAAAACAACCTATAGGATAGTCTTGATAATTGCGTAACATTGTGAATGTACTTAATGCCACTAAATTGCACACTAAAAATGGTTAAAATTTGTAAATTTTATATATTTTTTACCATAATGAAGAATGAACCCACAAAGCTATCAAGAGATCCAGGTGTGGTCCAATGATGGATTAATATCTAAGCACCCTGATTCAGTTTTCTTCAACCTTTATTGCTCAAGTGCCCTCTTCTCAAGTGCCGTCTAGTACTTATGGAACTAGCCCTATTTCTTGGCAAGGGGCATTTAAAGAACTCTGGGCCTGTCAGTCAGTGGCATGTCACCCTGCTGCTGGTCCAATTTTGTCTCTACTTTCTACCTTATTCCCTATGAGTAAAAATTGGGTCATAGTCGATTAGATCAGATCGATTGGATTTATTAGCCACTTGACCTTAAGGATGTTGTTTGACGACAATGAGCTTTGTAAAATTGATGAGAGGACGAAATGAGATAATGTCTGTTACTTCCCATCCCCTTTCCTTCCTCTGACCCCAAATGCTGTCCCTGCCTTTGTCCCTCTCTTACAGGATTCCTTCTTTGGCTCCTTGCTTAGAGTTCTACCACTGTTACCTTTAGATATTTTAGTACTGTAGTCCCTTACAGTTCCCTCTTCTATTACCAAATCCCATGATATCAACATCCTACTTATGTACTCTGTTTATTGCCTGTCTAGGCCAATATAATCCTGGACTCTGTATGTAGTAGTGTGTGTATGTTTCTGAGCTTTTCTGTGTGTATTATTTATTGCCTGTGATTAAGAATTATAGATTACATACTTTTGGACTTCAGAACTGGGATAGCTCAGTGTTAACCTGGATTGGCCAAGATCTAAGACTAGAGCTAGCCTCGAAAGATGGTTGTAATTGAGAGTCGGGAATAAAAGAAAATAACCACAGTTTTGGCAATAGCCTCTTAAACCCATAGCTTTTACCACATTAATAAAACTATACAACCACTAGCAAGATTCTGCAAGGGAGAGCATTTTTATTGATGTAAATAGATGGGGGAATGGATCTGTTGAAAGTATTACTGTTGCTTGATAGAGAGGATGCTGGGTATACAAGTGTCCACAACAAGCATTCAAGGGAAAAACAGTTCATTAGTTTTGACTTCAAATGCCCAAATTGCATTCTACTTAACCAACATTAACTTAATAAATCACATTTCTTTTTCAGAATCTTAGATGCTCTTATAACTGCTTATTAAGATTCATTTATTTTGGGGGGGAAGACAAGGGGACCTACTTCACTATTTTTTAAAATGAAATCCATCAACATAGCCTTAGAGTCTTTTGAGAATTCTTTCCCTTTGCAAAGAGAAGAGTCTTTATGTTAGTGTCTTTCATATATGGTTCAACTCCCTGTTAAAGGGATGCTGAGAACATGTATGAGGGGCCAAAGTATAAATGTCATAAAGGGAGTTTGAAGATTGTCAAATGTGGGAGGCCTGGGCAGATGAAAGCAAACATAAGCAAATCAGAAGCAAAAAGGGGAGGTTGGTAGGTATACAAAATTATTTGGGGTCTGAGAGAAAGGAGGTGTATTGGCTATTTTCCCTCTTCCCCTCAGCTCATCGGGATGTGGAGGTTGGTAATCACGCCTGTGATTATCTCCTAGCACAGACTTTCAGGCAAGAATGGAAAGTGTTAGGATGTCCCAAATAGAAACAATGACAGAAATTCAGTGTCAAAAATCCCAACAAGTTGGATGTTACTAGTGTTGGACTTATGCTTCTATGAGTTGAAAGAAGAGAACTAACATTAAGTAAGTTTATTGTCTGAGGAAAATGAAAACTGAATGAATGAATGAATGCCTAGGAAAGATCTAATGTTTTAATGCCCAAGAATTTTCAAGCCTCATAGGAAGTTTAATATACTTTTTAGAAAAGAAAGATGGGTGTTAAGCTTTCTTGAGAAGATCAGGATGACTTTTTCTATTTTTCTCCTCACACTCTACAGACCCTATCTCATTTTATCCTCACTTCAACTCTGTGAAGTATATCATTATACTTGTGAGAAAATATTGACACCTGGAGAGCTTGAGTAATTTGTCCAAGGGCACACGGTACTGGGATTTGAAAACAGGACATCTGGCCAAGAAGGTTGTGCCCTTAATCTGATTGTGTACTTAGGTTAGTGGTTTTTAAAGTGTGAGAAGCATGGACTTACAGCATCACCTGGGGACTCATATTTCATGCAAATTCTCAGGCTTCACCTAAAGTCTACGGAATCAAAAGCTCAGGGGGTAGGACACAGCAATCTGTGCTTCAGTAAGTTTTCTGGGTGATTCTGGTGCACACTCACATGTGAGAATCACTGTTGTACTTGTCTCTGACGGAAATGTTAAAAGGAAAACAGATAAAGGACTTTTTTTCAGGGTTGTGTTAGAGATTTCAAGAATAGCAGTGGAGAATACAGGAATGAAGGGATACCATAAAAGGTCTACCACTGAAAAGGTACAAACTTGGTGAATCAGAAGAGAAGGATGTCAGTAATGCTGATAGGAAGCTCCTGTGGGGGGAAAAATTAGCTGTGTTGTGTTTCATGATCTCATATGATGTTTGGAGTTAGAAGAGTGTTCATATCCGATTTAGTGTTAAGAGGGCAATTAAATGCTTCAGGATTAAAGTTGAATTATTTCACAGTTACACTAAAGAAGTGGGATTTAGCTGGAATCAAAGAGGGATTCTCTTCTTTCTTCTGTGAATTAAAAAAACAAAAACAAAAAAAACCTTGGGGTGCCTGGGTCGCTCAGTCAGCATCCAGCTCTTGGTTTCGGCTCAGGTTGTGATCTCAGGATCATGGAATTGAGCCCCATGTTAGGCTCTGCGCTCAGCATGGAGTCTGCTTAAGACTCTCCCACTCCCTCTCTTTCTATCCCTCCCCACCGTGTGCACGTGCACTCTTTTGCTCTCCAAAGTAAATAAATGAATCTTTCAAAACCAACAAAAAAAATCCTAGTCTATATATTCATGCGATAGTGGTTACTTGAGTTTTATACATTTGTCGGAATTCATCATTCTATACCCTCAAAATTACTGTATATAAATTCTGTCTAAACTTTATTTAAAATGGGATTGGGTTCCTGTGGCACGTAATGAATTCCTGTCACTGGAGGTGTTGGAGCTGAGGTCCAGTAGCCAGTTCTGAGAAATGTAATGGGGCTTCACACCTCTGAGGGGAAAGTCACTCCTCCCACTCACCCAGAGGTTCCATGAGTCACAAGTTTTATTGTGTCAGCACGGGTGTTGCCATTTTTTGGTAGAATGCTTTATTAATATCTTTGATCTGAAACATTTTAACTTGTCAGGATTTTAAAATGTATTAAAGTGTACAGGTGTGAAGTTCAGAACAGTAAATTCATTCACTGCTCCCTACTGTATATCACAAGTAGAAAGTTTTTGTGATAGATCACACCAAATTGTATTCTCATTTTGAAAAGTAATCATTTGATTTTATTGGATCCAAGGGCATTTTACTCCTAAGGTAAATTTGCCTATTTTAATTAAATCTTTGAATCTTCAAAGAAGATAAGTTAAAGAAGTTTTTTGTTTGATTTTGTTTGTGTTTTTTATCATCAACCTCAACACGATGTGTAAATGCTTATTTGGATTTTTCTTCTCTGACAAAGTAGATTCATTTGGAGAATAATATGTTTGTATGTTTGAATGAATGTTAGTGTGAGATGCTTTTTCCTATAAAGGTGCCACCCTTTTATTATCTAATAATTAAATCACCCTCAAATGAATTTGTACTTTCGGCATAGTTTATCAGATGCTATTAATGAACCACTATTCAGACTGCTAGGCTGTAGTACACGGGATCCTGATTACAGGAATTAAAATAGTGTGTATTGGCTGACTGCTGCTCCCCAGCAGGAATGCTCACTCATAATTCCTTTGCATCTAGTCTCAGCAGGAGAAGATTGACAGCATTGAAGACCATGTCAACAGAGCTGCTGTGAATGTTGAAGAGGGAACCAAAAACTTGGGGAAGGTAAGATTCTGCTCCTGCTGACAAATCAATGGTACTCTGGCTCCCAGGAATCTCTCGTATTAACCCAATTGATCTGCTCTCTTTAATGTGGAGCGAACCAGCAATTAAGGAAATAAGGAACAAATGACACATTGGTAGTGCAAGAAATCAATGACTGTTGTAATATTCTACTCTAAGATTCGTTCTGTCGGGAGAGAAATTTTTCAGAGGATAAACCAAAGCCCCACTATAAGGCATTTTGGTATTATAAGGGAATATTTGCAGAGGTTCAGAGAGTAAAGTGTCACCAGAATCCAGTAGGGGCAAGAGTGTACGTGGGGAGTGGGACCATCTATTTCCCATAGAACCCCAGGTATATAGCACAGAATAATGTCTATGCAACATAAAAGCTTTGGGGGGTTATCTGTAGCAGCTGAAACTGTTTAAGTAAGCTTGCTAGATAGTTAGTGGATTGCTTGTTTTGCAAGTAAAATCCGTTTGTGGTAGTCCACTTTTCGTAGCTCATTTCTCCAAATTCTGAGATTGGGAACAATTGTAGTACCTGTGGAATACTGCCTCCTCTCCTGAGCGCTAAGGTTCATTATGTACCAAGAGTTAAAGAGGCATTGCCAGGAGTAATGAGAGGAAAATGCACATCACCACAGGCGGATATTCTCAACTCAATTTCTAAATTGAATTTTTTTTTTTTTTTTTTTTTTACAGGCTGCAAAATACAAGCTGGCAGCTCTGCCTGTGGCAGGTGCACTCATTGGAGGAGTGGTAGGGGGTCCGATTGGCCTCCTTGCAGGTTTCAAAGTGGCAGGAATTGCAGCTGCACTTGGTGGTGGGGTGTTGGGCTTCACAGGTGGAAAATTGATACAAAGAAAGAAACAGAAAATGATGGAGAAGCTCACTTCCAGCTGTCCAGATCTTCCCAGCCAAACTGACAAAAAATGCAGTTAAAAACCAAACTTCAGCATTATTGGCGCCAACGTGTCTATCCTAATGAGGATCTTTGCTGCTGTTGGACACTCAGTCAGCTTTTGGAACATGATTATGTCAAGATAGTGGCTATAGATGCTCAAATGGGATTGAACTGTGCTAAGTAGATATATTTTGTTGTTTGCTGGAGTGTTAGGGAGACCTTAGAGATCGAGGAGCCTGGGCTGAGGGTGTGTAATGTCAGGTAAAGTTTAAAGACTGCCAAGGACCAGATTTTCTGCATAGAAATGTAAAAAATGGATTTTTAACTTTGATAAGGACTCGAGATGTGTGGACATGATGGATTATGGAAGGCTGGTGTATTCCATAACCCTGACTTGGAGACCCTAAGACTAACTGTGTTATAAATATGCTTATTGATCTCCTATATATAGGAGGTTATTTAGGCCTGTTAACAAAGAAAAGAATGGGGAGTTCAAGAGCCTTTCTTATCAAATAAGGAAATCAGGATCTAGTGAGGGGCACAGGTGAACCACATAATGGAGTCCATTTGGTGAACCCTATTATAGTTTGGTCCACCTGTATTTTCTGGTGAAGGACACTAATAGTGTAAGAAAATGGAAAGAGAGGTGCAGCTTCTCTTTGAGATACCTTAATTTGTGACACTGGCTTCTTTGAACTCTTCCTTCTATCTTTTGAAATAAAGAACACAGAATCTCAAGTGATAGGAGACTATTAAGCCGGTCACTAAGCTTGGTCTGTCAGCCTGTCTTTTAACAACTCAAAGATCTAGTGCCCTCTGCCTTCCCTCCCTTGTAATTCTGCAAAGTTCTTTGACTTGTGGGGTGAATTCTACCCATGTGTAATGAGGACTTTTCTCCTAATCTGCTTTCTTGTATTGTCTCCTATATCCATTCATCCTTTCCTATAACCTCTAGGTAAAAGAGAGAAAGAAAGGAAATCTCCAATATTTCCAGCATTGTTAGAGTTTGAGGTAAAAAATAAGCAGGTAGCAGGAGGTACCAGATCATTTCTTGGGGCATCTTACAATTTTAAGAGACTAATGTACCGGCCATGCAGGGAATCTCTGACCCTAAGTCTTTTCAGCTGGCCTTTTGGGGAGCTAAGAACTAGCTTTCTACCTCACTTCTGTTAACTACCATCCTTTTCCCCAGGCTTTGCTGTCTCCTATGCTTTACTTTTCCCAGCTGTTATCTCTTCCCAGGAGTGGCGTTCTTGCTCACCTTTCCTCATATTCAAGATGATAGACAAAGCCTGGTGCCAAGAGTGATCCTGATGAAGGATTTGTGGTGCTAATCCCAACACTTGACATTGACAGCAAACATGGCCCAGCCCAACCCAAATAACAAAAAGGTTTTAATTTTGTGAAAAAAAGAATTGAAAATCACAGGTAGCCTCATCCTGTACCCCAAGTTCATTTGAAATAAGAAGGAGCCACCTTTTGCCTTAATCTTTACTGTTTTCTGAGAGTAGAGGAATGGGCACCTGTACCACAAAATGCGTGAGCACAGGAGCCAAAGAGATTCCTCAGGTGGTTGAATGCTTATCATTTCTCTCTTGTTGAGTTATTCTTAATAATTTTTATTGTTTGCTTGCTACTTTTCTTTGTCTAATATAGCCAGACTTTTCTTTCTTACACTTTTTTTTTTTTTTTTTTACTTTTACCAATGAATTCTAATGAAGAGAAAGCATCATTTCTTACTGGCATTAAATAACTGGAAAATATCAAGTATTGCTATCTGCGAATTATATCTTCAGTATAATGCCAAGAAGGAAGTGCCTTGAATAAGTGTCCAGTTCTGATACGGTATTTGATACCGGATACCTGTAAGGCTAGGATAATTACTTTGGAACTCCACCTTTTAAAATAGTTTCTGACCTTCGTTGTCCGTTTAACATGGGGTATTCAAACCAGAATGAGGATCAGACTCATGCAGGGCGCTTTTTTAAAACAAGATTGCTAAACTTCAGTCCCATAGGGTAACTAACAATGGCCAGTCTGGCCTGGTCAGCTAAAACAAAGAATTTAAGATACAGTTCCATCAAGATTCAGCTGTAATTATTGAATCCTGTAATTTCTGAGTATTCTTCCCTTCAACATGGCCCAATCTTCCTTGCTCCATATCATTCCCACTCTGCCAACCCACAATTGGCTATGCTTTTTAGCCCACCATCTTTTTTTTTTTAAAGGTTGATTTATTTATTTTAGAGACAGCATGAGAGGGAGGGGCAGAGCGAGAGGGAGAGAGTCTTAAGCAGACTCCAGCCTGAGCACATGGAACTTGATGCGGGGCTTGATCTCACAACCCTGAGATCATGACCCGAGCTAAAACCAAGAGTTGGTTCCTTAACTGACTGTGCCACCCAGGTGCCCCTACCTTTAGCCCACCATCTTAATGGCCCTAGGGACTTAATATCCTGTCAGGCTAGTTTAACACTGGGAACTGGAGGAGAGAGGAGGCCTGTAATTGAAGTTCATATTTTGTTTGAGGATCTCTCATTTTTCATCAGCCAGTTTGGGACACCACTGTATGTGCTCAAATAGGCCTTTTGATTTTTACTACTCAATCAGGATTGGAATATTACCCTACCAGCCTTCATGCTCAGGCAAATTGTAGTTGTTTTAAAAAGTCTTATAATTTAAAACCATTTAGAAATTCTGCCTAATTTCCCTGTAATAGAATCTAAAAGCTAACTTTTGGTAGAACTTTCTAGAAATGTTTAATCAACTATAATAAACTATCAAGTGTTTAGAGGTGTGAATTAATTAATATGACACAGAAACCAATCTTAAACTGAATTTAATGCCCTAGGGTATCAGATTAAATTCCTCTCCTCCTTGATTCATGTCTTATTTTTAATACATTCAAGTTAGAAGGTTAAGGGTTACTTTGGTTAAGTTCTTAAAATTTACAGAGGTACAAACTTCCAGTTATAAAACTAAATCACGGGGGAAAGTGCAGAATGAGGGGGGTGGTGTATAGCGTCCATTGGAATAAAGGCAGTGCTCCTAAGACCTTTTTTGTTTTTCTAAAGACTTTGTGATATAATAATCTGAGAATTTTTCTGTAGAGCATACTTTCAAACTTTGTGGTTGTAACCCACAGTAAAAAAATGCATTTATATCAAAACTCAGTTTACTTATAATGGAGAATACCATTACATATAGTGTACTCCAGTATTTTTTATTTCAGTTTTTAAAATATTGCTGGGTGCAACCTACCAAATTGATTTCATAATCTACCAATGGGTTGTGACCCTTTGTTTGAAAAGAAGAAAACACCCTATGGAGAAACTGATATTTATTGAATATCTTCTGTTTTCCAGGCACTTCATTAGGCATTTTACAGGTAAGGAAACTGAGTCTCAGAGAAGTTAAATGACTTACAGAGGGTTATTCAGCTGTGAAATGTTGAAGCCAGGGGGATGTTAACTGGGTCTCTTGAACTACAAAAATTTGTTACTCCCCCACTCTGCTACTTCTGTACATAAAATTGAGGTGGGCCATTCATCCTGCTTCACCCAAACACCAGTATCTTCTGTAAGGCAGGCTTGCTGTGAAATTACATGTGCGTTTGCAGTTTTTTGTTTTTAATCTTTTCAGGAAGTGTCCTGCAGCTTCAAAGTTTTTAATAGTGGCTGATGTAGAAGTACCTAGTGCTGAATTTGGTCCTTATACTATAAAATTAAAAATGCTTCTAACCCACCTACACATCCTACAAATTTCCTTGTATTCCATGGGTTATAGCCATCTCTTCAACAATGCTTTTTGTATTAAAAATGAAATGTTTTTTTCTTAAATCTATCATAACTCATAGAATCAAATGATTGCTATCTTTTAAAATGGTACTCTTGGGAAATCACATACTTACTCTAGTGACACTAGTATTACTTAGAACATTTTTGAAACTTTTCTTTTGGAATTGCCTCCAAAGACATTTTGCAAAGTAAATAGAAGAGCCATCTCAGTGTGTATTAGTCATGGATTACACCCCCTTGTCCTTATGACCTCTCCTCTCTTCCATTCTTAGTTTTGCTTTTCTTCTGATGGTTTTGCTCTCCTGCTTCCCTGTGCTGGAGCCGATAACCTACAGGTGCCCAGACAGGGGGTATGCTGGCCAGAGCTCCTGGAGCAAGAACTTTTAGTTTATACTAAAGCTGAATGCTGTAAAGGGAGACTCTTGCAAGTCTAAAAACCTATCTCTGTGGGCTGCCTGTGCCCTACGTAGTTTGCACAGGAGTAAGGACTGAATACTGGTCATACCAGTCACAGGAAGGTGAGGAAGCCTGAAATGTAAGTATGAAATGTGCAGCATTTCTCTGCAGTGAAGAACAGAAACTACACCAAGCCATGCTTTGTGTTAACTTAAAACTGAAAGGTGTTTCTCAGGGTCTCCTTTGCCCTTCATTGCTGCCACATAAAATCTGGGAGAAAGGATGATGAAAAGCCTGGGGGAAAGGTTCTCCTGTGAAATGGACCTGTTCTCTTAAGGTACCATGTGACTTCAGCTCTCTGGTACTAATGAATGTTAGATAATGTTTGTAAGGAACCATAGGACTAATAAAAGGTAGGAAAGCTTCCCTGGGAGCCTAAATTAATGTAAGTAGTTTAGGTTCTGTTTGTGTTTTTAACAACATTTTGTTTCTAACAGGTGGTTCTTGCTATTTATATTCATTAATTTGACACCATTTTACAGAGGAACTTTCTGTTTCTTCGGTATTATAAACAATCAATGGCAAAAGATGAATATTATTGTCCACATTGCCACTCTCAAATTATATTTGGAGATAGATATATCTGTGCAAAATTAACAAAAGAAATAAATTGAATAAAAAAATAAATTGAATAAAAATGATTTGCCCAAGATCAAAGCTAGTTGGCACAACAGCTAGAATTATACCAAGGTCTAAGAAAAACAAAACCCCTCAAAGTAATTCAACTGAAGTTTTGTTCTGCCATACCAAGTTGTATGCTGAGGCTTACGGTCTTTCAGACCAGCTAAAATTCCAGATCAGGCAGTGGCTATAGTGAAAAGAAAATTGGATGGGGCATCAGGAGATCACAGTGCTAATTTGGGCTTTGTCTTTCCCCTGATAAGCTTTTTTTCTCAGTGGTGGCTGCCTTCTCCTATTCCAGTCTGGGATTTGCCAACCATAAACCTCAGTGGTTAGCAACTTGACACTCTCCATTCTTCATATGTAGCTTCTTACTGGCTCCTGTCAGTTCTACTTTGAATGTTAGTTGCATCTATTTCTAAATATGTTCATAGTCATCACTCTAGTAAAAGACTGTGTTACCTCATACCCCCTACCTCACTTCCTCCAACTTTAAGCCATTCCTCACATCAGTGCCACAATAATGAAAACTAGGTCCCTTGGCCATTTTTCTGCTGAAATATTTCAGCAGTGGCTCCCCTGAATACTCGATAAAGTTGAAAACCCTTAGGTTAGCATTCACAACTTTCCCTATTCTGGCCCTAGCTTTATCTCTTCAAACTCAACTACTCACCAACTGACAGTGCCACTGAGAATCAGACATTCCATAAAAATGACTTTAAGGTTGTTGTTTTTTTTTTCCCATGGTGAAATTATAAACTGGTAATAAACTGTTTACATTTGAAAAATTCTGTAGTACTGCATTTTACACAACTGATCAGCCTAAAAGTTGTTTCTTAAGGAAAATCTTTTGTCCCCCCCAGAAGAAATTACATTTAATTTATTAACCCCTAAAACTGTTAGTTTTGTCATCTGTGCATCTGGTAGCCAGAGCATGGGGATTTCTCTTCAGCAGCATAGATACTCCAGCCTTGAATGGACCATTGTCTAGCTCCTGTGAGAAACCTGACTAATAAATATTTGAGAAAAACAACTCAAGAATATACGTTATTCATACATTTCTCAAGTACTTGAGATTTTGTTGTATTATGGTCAATCATTAAAAAGATGTTTACCTGGGTTTCATTAATTAAACCCTCTAAGATATTTTCCATTTTATTGTTAAACCCTTGATGTTAGCAAGGATCAGCACAAGAAAAGGCCCAGTGGTGGGAATATCTACAAATTCTGTAAATCTTACTGAATTAATTGTGTTGTTGAGTGGTGCTTGTATAAGGAAACATGCAATAAATTCATTCAACAAACATTGAATTGAATGCTTGTTGTGTGTTGCATGCCAAGGCCACCATACATAGAAAAATCTTAGACCTATGGAATCTACCCTTGTTAAATCATTCAAGCTAATGAATTCAGGTACGTAAAGCAAGTAAATCACAGTAAGACGTGGTTAGTACCTTAAAAGAAGAATAAACAAAATAGGATGAAGGCACAGAAGATGGACTGATTTGCTGCCTGGAAGAGAAGGGGAAGGCTTGGTAAGAGGAAGGCGTTTGACAGGATTTTGACCAAGGTCTCCTATACCCAAGCTCATGTACTTTTCTTGATGCCTGGAAGAAGGTTAAGGCTGACTGAAGAGAGCTGTGGGCTTCGAGGTAGCAGAGGAGTTCCATGTACAAAGGGTTGAAAACATGAAAGAACATAGTGTGCTCAGAGAAAACCAAGGAGCTAAACTTGAGAGTGATGAAGATGTAGGATGGAAGTATAGACTGGGGTGGTTATACATGTTTTTAATTTAATAATTCTTTGTTTAAAGGAATCGATCTGTTGGTTTGTATCAGATAAGACTGTTAGAACCCTAGGAGTTCTTCCTTTTGCCTTCCTTGCCAAGGAAGTTAGTAAACCTCACCTTTGCTGGAGTTTGTGGTATTTGACATATTTGCTTTCCTTTCCCACATGTAAGAAATGATGTGTGCTTGCGTGTCTCTCTGCTGTGAGATCCCCTGCTTCATACTGAATGCCTGTTTTCGTCCTCTCATCCTATTCATTCCATACATATTTATTGAAAACCCACTGAGAAAATAAATAGCCATGAAACTTATCTGTTAGTGCCCAAGACTTTCATGGCCCAGTTTTCCATTTCTACACTATTTCTTAACCACTACAATTCACTGGCTTCATTCACTTGGGGCACATTCTGCAGTGTTCTTCATAGCTATAAACTTCTTTCATTTGCGGTGGTATGATCTCACCAACTAGATTTTAAGCTGCTTTCAGGGCAGGGACTAGATCATCTGCTTGTTGGAATATTTTATCACTTGAAATAACAGTGATGAGAAGGAAAAGAAATGATACGCCCCAAGAAACTTCAAGGTAATGAATGATGAGGGCCTAGCACGTGTGTTGTGCCATCTCTTGGTGGATATGTATGGAAATGTGAAAAAGCTTTCTAAGATATATCAGACCTTTGCTCAGTACTCACTTTTGTATATTAACTTAGGATGGAGTGATGCAACAGAAGAAATCTGGAAAACACTTCCAAGACTTGGGAGCCATGAATTGGAAATTTAAGAATTTGGAGGTAAAGATATTTCTCTTATTTCAGCTAAAAGTCGTGACTTAGAGAAGATATAGGACCTGAAGAAGTGTATGGAAAAGTTGGGTTTATCTTCTGTCTTAACCATAGGATTGATGGGGTCAGAACAGTAGGCACCCAGGAAGGATTTATAATCTGATGGCCTAGTATTGAAACAGAGTAGCAGCAGGAATTTAATTGCTCTGTTAGGCAGGCAGAGACTGGAATTAAGAAAGGGCAGAGGTGAAGTTAAAGGCATGTGACGGGATTTTGACCAAGGTCTGCGGTACCCAAGTTAATGTATGTTTCCCACAAAACAGCCTCTCAGCTGATAGGAATGAAAAGGAATAGAGTGCTTGGCACTTAGTAATTCTTCATGCACATTAGTTGCCTTCCTTTCCTCTCTAGGTTTGTTTCTAACAGACTGCTGCCTATTATTTAGGTTAGGGTGAGGGTCAGCAACTCAGGACTTCTCTAGCCTTCCCCTTCTTGAATTTCCCCTTCCTTGTTGATACCTAGCCTGTCTTACAGGGTGGTCATGAAGATGAAAAAAAATTAATACATGTTAAGTGTCTGGAATGGAGGCTGGCTTGCCGTAACTGTACGAATATAAGTAGCTACTGTTATAATTGTTACTGTTTTTTCCTAAAGTTTAAAGGAATAGCACATTAATGAAAAAGGGATCTATAAGAATAATGTTAGGGAGACACCTAAAATGAGTGGAGACTTTATAGAAATACCAAGAATTCTTAAAATGACTTTTTAAAAGGGTTTATTAAGAATGTGGTATAATGATGACACATGACTGGTTGAGAGTAAATCTTTTTTTTTTTTTTTAAGATTTTTATGTATTTGTTTGACAGAGACACAGCGAGAGAGGGAGCACAAGCAGGGGGAGTGAGAGAGGGAGAAGCAGGCTTCCCACCGAGCAGGGAACCCCATGTGGGGCTCAATCCCACGACCTGAGCCAAAGGTAGCTGCTTAATGACTGAGCCACCCAGACGCCCGGGAGTAAATCTTTTTCGTCTCTGGTAAGAATGATACCCAAACATGAAACTGTAGAACAGGTCCAGGTGGGAACAGGGTGATGATACATTGTAGTTTGTCTGGGACAGTTTTTTTTTTTTTTTACATTGTGTCCTAGTGTAATTATTACTAATGCTGCTTTTCACTCTCAAATGTCCTGGTTTGGATGAAAATATTACATGGCCACCCTAGTGATAAAGGCAATGAAAGTAAGTGCAGAGTTGTTCCCTCCCTCCCCCTCAAAAAAGCATCTGTTAAAAGAATTTATTGTTTCTAGGCTTAGATAAAAAGCATCCTCTAAGGTTAGTAGGAACTTACAGATGTTATTATAAACCACTACCTGTAATTTCTGAGGGACCAGAAAACAGAAAATGTGCCAGAACACAGAGCTTGGGCAAAAGTTTAAAATTTAAGGAGTTAAGTTCTATTTCAGAAGCCACAGACCAGGTAATTTACCTTATAATCTAGAAAAATTCTGAAATGGACGTGTTAAATCAGAAAGCCATGCTCATTATGAAGATATGAAGAATTGGTAAGTCAGAATAGATGTCTTTTTGGGCAGTGGTTAGGGCAAGAAAACAATCGTAGTATCAAGCTTCCAAGATTGATCTGATCCTCCGTGTGTCATGTAGAAGTTTACATATGGCATCAGGAGAATGGCCATCCAGTTTCCTTCCTGTCACCCATCCCAGTTAAGTAAAATGAGACACAGCACAAATAGGCAAGTACACGATCTTCTGAGTAGCCCAGAGCTGGAAAACAGGGCAGCAATTCCTAGCAATGCTTTGCTATTACTGCAAGGTATTTTTTTATGATTTATTAATTTGAGAGGGAGAGAGCAAAAGGGGCACAGGGAGACTCCTCCTCAAGCAGACTCTCCACTGAGTGTGGAGCCCCATGCAGGGCTCCATCCCCCAACCCTGAGGTCACAACCTGAGCTGAAACCAAGAGCCTGATACTTAACTGACTGCACCACCTAGGCACCCCTACAGTATAGTTATTAATAGAGAAAAAGGGCAGCCTCTATTAATTTTCCTGGAGCAGAGTCCATTCTAGTTATGGAGATAATTTCTTGCCCTTTGTTCATTTATTATGTAATTTGGCTTTTATTTTTCCATAAGAATTATTGATCCTATGGTGCTCTAGCTTGCTGGGAATACAAAATTAGAGGAGTTCCTGCATCTTTGACATTCACATGATATAAGGAAAAGGGATTCATGTACTTCTGTACATGAATTAGACTGGATCCTGTAAAATACACAGAGGGCTGTGAGACCACAGTGGGTGGTAACTGTCCTGGGCATTGAAGAGTGGATAGACAGAGTTTATTAGGCCAGGCAGGGGAGGAGAGAGGACATTTTTTTTTTTTTTTTTTTTTTTTATGTATTTATTCACTAGAGAGAGAAAGAGAGAGTACAGGCAGGGAGAGTGGCAGGCAGAGGGAGAAGCCGGCTCCTTGGTGAGCAAGAAACCCAACGTGGGACTCAATCCCAGGACCTAGGATTATGACCTGAGCTGAAGGCAGACGCTTACCTGACTGTGCACCCAGGTGTCCCGAGAGGGGCATTTTAGAAAAGCTGTTCGTAGGCTGCACTTTTCCTCTTCCTTTCCAAAACCTATTGTCTAAGGGCAGGCCAGCCCTCCCCCAAAGTGCTCTGCAATGTGGAGCTTTGGCGCTTCCAACTAAAGGCCAGGTTTGAGCTATCAACTAAGGATTCATACAGCTTCCCATTCTGATTCAAGTACTTCTAAGTAATCTAAAAAATAAAAACTGGAAAAGCTTGTGACTGGTCATCCGGATTCAGAGTAAAATGTTCACATTATGATATTTATGACACACTGAATTAGTAAAAAGTCTAAAATATAGAAATATTTTATAAATATAGTTTTATTACTTGGAAATACATACAAAAATTCAAACACAGCTAAAAAACAGTTGCCAGGCAGAGGTCCTATCCAACCGGTTCTAACGAACACAGAAAACAGTTATAATCAGCATAAAACAATTTAAGCCCTGAAACGACTTACTGTCTTCAGGGTCTTTAATTATTGGGCTTAAAATTTATTAGTTTTATTCTTATCACCTATTTAAATCCTTTCCCCAAATATAGATTACTAACATTTCAGTTTGGTTCACGAGATATTTATTTAGAAAGATAGCTACAGCAACTTAACTTAGTTATTCTGAGAGCGGGAATACTTTATGTTCATTTCCAGTCTTCTGTCGCCACAAATTCTTCATGATTTCCAGCAGCTGCTACCAGAGCACCTGTAACTTCCAGAAGCTCTTTGGGATACTCTTTGGTCCAAAGAGCCCTGAAATTATTTAGGGTGGCAGGATTGTTTTTATTTCTCACTTTTGCTTTTTTGTTTAATGTCAATTTATTTTTGCCACACTAGACAACATTTCCTTGTCTGAGAAAAAATAAAAGTTGAGTTATTCTGCTTTTCTTAATTGTTAATCCATTACACTCTTTCTTTCTTTTTTTTTTTTTTTTTGCCCTCAGGTTTTTCTGGTTTTTTTAATGCCTTCTGGGCAAACTTAGCACTTTCTGCAAAGCTCATTCAGCTTTTATATTTCAACATATTTTTATATTTCACTCTTTTTGGCCTTTATCATGTCAATTTTTCCTTCCTTTGTATGTGATCTTTGACAACTTCACCATGGAGCTCATTGAGATGGTTTAGATGCTTATTCTACAGGTTCATTTAACTATTTGAAACATGTTTAGAATTTCATGTAAAGAAAGTTTTCATCCTTTTATGGTCCCCCTCACTATTAGAGCAATTTTTTCAAAACTCGAAAATGTCGCAGGTTGACAGGCAGAAGGGACTGCTGCTAGCTTGGGTTTTGCAATTCAATTGTTCTTCAGTCTTGCATCCTCTTCACAGCTGAGGAGCCTGAGGCCCAAAGCAGACTGGATAAATGAGAAGACTTCCACCTAGAACATTTTCTGATGCATGGTTCAGAGGAGAAGAAGTCTAAATTGTGAGTTCTAAATTCCTGGACTTTCTCTTTGTAAGTCCAGCTGGTGACAAATCCCTACAGAATTTACATCTTTGTCATCTGTCGTATCTATTCCTCTCCGTCTCTTAGTTCTGGCCACAATATTCTTTCTCAAACTTAAACATGAACATACTTCCTGGCTTAAAAATCTGAGTGGATCTCTACTGCCTGTAAGATACAGTACAAACCTCTTAGCTTGGCATTCAAGCCCCTGTAAATCAGCTCCCATTCTTTCTCTAACTTCCATTTTCATTTTCTTAGCCACAGGCCTCCTCCTCACCACCCCCACCCCCACCTTTGCACTGGAACTATGGCAAAAACTTATCTTTTCTAATGCGTTTTGGTGTTTTGCACTTGAGCTTTTTTCCCCTTTTATAAAATGGGGCACCCAGTCCTGATGAGTGCTCAGCCCTTGAAGGGTACAAAAATTACCCAACATCACTTTGCAGCTTACTTATTCAATAAACATTTAAGTCCAATATGCATAAAAGCTAAATCATGCAGCCTCAAATATATTTTAACAGCCACTCTGTTATCTTCAATCACACTGAACCTGTGTTCCTTGAGGCCTTTTTCATAATAACTATTCTCAAGTCAGCTCTCTGCAATCCAATATTTGAGTGTTATCTTTTGTTTATAATATTTTTAAAGCCAATTACAGGATTATAAACTTATTCCAGTTAATTGCATATGCTGCTCCTGCTGTTGTACGCGGCCCTGCTGAATGTTCACAAATTTTCATTTTAACTGCCTCAGATTTGGTCCATCATCTGACCTGAAGACTACAACTTTGATTTCAGAGTTATTAATTAGAAGCAATGAATTGAACAGAACTAAGACTCAACCTTGAGGAAGCTCTGTCCTGCTTTTCTAATTAACAATCTGGTAAGATATACTAAACATGCCCCTTATCACCTTATTAACAACATTTATTATTCTGAATGAAATGATGGATAAGTCATGCATAACTAAGAATTCTAGGCTGATTTTTTTAAAACAACAATCATTAAATATGCATTATAAATATTCACTTTATTTTAAAAGAATTGGAAGATGTTACATATATTACACACTACATATAATGGCACATGTCAGCCTTTTAAGCTTAAAAATAATCTTTCCCCAAACTGGGATTGACTTAGACTCCAAGTATAAAATGACTCTTGGCCTATAGCACCAACCCAGGCCCAGAGGAAAGCCAATTTTGAACCTGTCTTCCTTGGGCATTGGGCCTCCTGATATGACACTGAGGGTCCTCTCCCTCTGGTTTTGTTCCCTGGCAGTACTGAGGCCTGGCACAGGAACCCATTTGACTATACATCGCAGGCCTGGGAAATCAGGGAATCTAGTGGGGAAGGGTCCTCTAACAATTTTACAATGGGAAAAAAAAATTATGTGCCTTATTGTCTTTGATTTTGATCTATACAACTACAACAAGACTCTACAAGAGAGAAGATTAGAATTACTGAAATACAATTTTTCTGCTGGTTTTTGTCTTTGGAAATTAATATGTCATGATAGGAGGAGCCTTAAAAATAATCTGGTTCAACACTGGTAACCTGCTTTACTAGTATCTCAGATTTAGGTATAATTCAAAGTTTTAAATGCCATCCGTATGCCATTTTGTTAGATAAACACAAAGAAATTTAATAACACTTTTCATTTTCTTTTTCTTAATTCATAAGGACAATTCCACCAAATGTTCTGGCTTATGGCTCTCCTCCTCTTCATAGTATGTTTAAGATACATATTAAGAATCCAAAAAATACCACTGTGGAATTTTCATAAGCAATATCCAACCAATCAGTAAAACACAGTACACAGTGTGAAAATTTTAATTTATTCCCCTCCCAAGTATCCAGAATATATACCCTCTTAGCTTTGAGAAATGTGACAATGAAAATACCAACAGGATTGATCGTATATAAAGAAAAGCACGTACTACACAGGAGACATCCCTAAGTCCTCCCTTACCTAGCAGTGCAAGTTAATGGTATGTTTCTGGCAATGTCACCTTTCACTTGATTTATAAAAATTTTACAGGACAGATTTAAACCAAAGATAGGCCTCTGATTTTTATTTTTATTTTTTTAAATCCCTAACAGATTTTTAAAAAGAGGCTATATTAAATGACAATGCATTTTGAGTCAGGGGGAGGAAAAAAAATTAAAAACCCAAAACTTCTTTCAGTTTATTCAAAATAAAAATACACATAGAATTATGAAAATATAGGTTTACTATTTCCACCACGTAAGTTGATGCTGCTGTTTGAAAGGCTTGCAAATTGTTTTTCAAGTTTTTAAAGCTCATCTCGATCCCTCAATAAAGTATACCTATATTCGCTGGGTGCTAATTTCTGGAAGGAGCTCTCAGGTGGACTGCTTGCTACATCTTGGACTTGCTACAAGAGAAAGAATAAAACATATCAATATATTTTTGGAGTTACACTGTTTTAATAAAAGTATCAGACAAATGGTAGTTGTCTTGTAATTATTTGCTTAATGAAGATAGCTACTGTGTGCCAAAGATAAGAGTTAAGTTTGAAATCTTACTTTCCCTATTCAAATGCCCTTACTAATATTCTCCAGGGCAGGGATGCTACAGAGCCCTTACCTCTGGACCTGTCGACAGTTCCTGAGGTGTAGTGGAAGGAAACAAAATACCTGACTCCTAAGTGTCTTCCTACACTGTTTTGTAGAGGAAGCACCACCATGACTAAGATGGCCCAGACCCTTCTCTCTTAAAAATGACCACAAAGAGGATTAAAGGCACCGACAGAACTTTCATTTAGCGAATACCTGGATACCAGAATTTAGTTGACATAAGGAGGAAAATAAACACTTCCATGCTGTAAGAAATTAATTTCTATAGTATTCTACTTGTGCATCAACAAGACAAAAATACACAGAACTCTAAGAATGACTTCCAAGAATTTCAAAGGAAAGGCAGTGTGTTGTCTATCCTTTGTCTCCACATGACCAAATACACTGTCACTGTTTTAATATCCCCTGTAGTTAACAGTGTCCATGTTACATACCATGGATACTGGCTTATTTCCATTATTAATGGGAAGCAATGTCTGCAAATTTCTCATTTTATTTTGTCATGTTCCCTCCCCCTTCCCTAATACATTTTTCATTTGTATTTTTACTGAGATACATGTTTGGTTTAAGCCATAATTATATTACTATAAAATAGAAGTTCACTGTCTAATGGAGAAGTTGAAATAAATCAGGATAATATAATAATGGTAAGTAACATTTTTTCCTAATCTGATAAAATATCAAGTAGGCGTACTTTCCTGAGGGAAATAATCACCTATGGGTTATTGCCAACAAACGGTTTGCTTCTATAGTTGCTTAATTATCAAAGAAAAATCTGAGCTCAGACTTCAAGGAAAAAGCATGTCATTGGATTCCTAAAGGGAATTCTTGACAATTGAACTTAATTTGACTCTTCAGGAAAAATTGACTTAGCTTTTATTTTTCTATGTGGAGGTTCCTTAGGCAAAACAATGAAGTTCTGGGCATATGAAATAAGAGTTTTGTTATGTGTCATCTTCCCTCTCAGTATAATGGCAACAGACATGATATAAATCAATAATGTATCCAAACGCCATTTTTAGAGGTGTTTAACAAAGCAGAACAGAGAAATGATTTGTAACAGAAGGTACAAGGTAGAAACAGTCAAATCAGGCTAAAAGTTACATAAAAAGCAAATACAAAATTTTCATAAATAATTGTAAAGCATTCTAAATCTCAAATGAAAAGCTGCATTAAACCTTAAGTTTAAAAATTATAAATACTGTATTGGTGAAGGTGCTTAGGATGGTTTAGCAAGAATACCATATCATTATTTTCTTTGTAGTGTGGTCAGTCTCCTGGCCACAGAGGAAGACTTGACCAGTTAACAGAATCCACTGACTTCTTCACTGATCTACCTACTTCTACTTCTTACCTCCTACTTCAGTATTTGAAGCCAACTGTATTTAATCCTTTTACCCATATTCCACAGGACATACTCACAGGACACTTCTGTTTATGTGATCAAGAAACTATTTTGTATCATTCTTGAAACTTTACTGAAGCTCTGTAACTTTAAAAATTAATTTTAAAAGGAACAATTTATTATCTAGAGTCTATTCAGAATTTCATTACAGAGATCTTTAGGAGCAGAAACTCAAGCCTGTATAAGAGCTTCACATCCTCCTCAAGGCTAACTAGAAAAAAGAGCGTTCCCACTAAAAAAAAAAATAAAGAGTCCTACCTGTCCTGGGGCTATATCAGTTGGGTCAGGACCATGATGGAATTCTCTGTGCAATTTTCCAGAATGTAAGTCAAATACGAACTGCTTGAGTTTTCCAGGAATTCTAAAACAAAAGTAAAATAAAAATTTAGCTTAAACTGTTAAAGTGGACTTACCTCTATTTTACCAACTTCAAACATTAAAAAAAATTTTTTTCTTTAAATTTTACCTACAGTCCTACCATAACTCTCAGAGGCCAGGTATATGCTGAACATTGCTATACACTTATCATCATGAAATGCAGATGCTCAGTTTTGTGTTCCAGTTCTTGCACTTGTTTCGCAAATTTTTCTACGCTTATTTTAACAGATACATTAGAGTCTATCGGGATGCTGTCCTAAAACTTACTTAACCGTCCCTTATTATTGGGCATTTTATGTATTTTCCATAACATATGTGACTAAAAAATATATCATATTCTGCAGAATCACGCTAAAAATGACAGGGCAAGGGAAAAACAGCATTAGGGCCTCACCACTTAAAACTACGTAGCTTTGCAACCAGAGTACTATAAAAACCCTGGAAGAAAAATACTAGCACTGTTTCAGCCTCCACCACTGTGCCGGCAAGGTTAACCTCTGTAGCCTTAACCTAGAGCCTGTAAGTCCTTTTTTGAGATATGAACTGAGGTTCTTGAGGGCATTCACTGCCAGTAGAACCAATTTCATCAAAATAATTTAAATCAGAATGTAGCTTTTTCGCTTACCCCCCCCCCCCGCCCAAGCATAAGGGAAAATTTCACAATGTCTTCAACCACGTGGGCACTCCACTGGATAGCTTAATACTGTGAAAAGCAAAGCACTTCTCAAGGCCATGAAACTGACCCTCCTTTGCTTTTTTGGTTGGGGGAGGTCTTCATACACCACTAAAGCATTCTCTCCTTTTCAAAAATATTTTTGAGAGCACACAAGCACGTGCGTAGGGGGTGGGGCAGAGGGAGAGAAGCAGACTTTCCCCCGCCAGGACCCTGAGATCATGACCCCCAGCCAAAACCAAGAGTTGGTCAGTTAACTGACTGAGCCACCCAGGTGCCCCTAAATCACTCTTTAATGGTGAAAACACTTTTCTTTGATGGCTTCAAAACATTCTGATGAAAATAGTATGAACCAACACAACTTGCTTATTTTAACAATATTCCCCTAATTATCACTCATGCTATGAGCAAGTTTGCATTACAGAGACATGCACCGTAGTAAAACAGACCAATATAAGCTGAGCAGATTCACCTATCAGCCTTTTTTTCTTTAAGTATTTCCTTTGAGTTGTATCCAATAGAGTAGGAATATAGACTTTCCTCAACTTACAAAGGGGATACAGCCCAATAAACTTACCCTGAATTGAAAAATCTTAAGCACACTTTAAACACGTTCAGAACATTTATAATACCCTACTTGAGCAAAATCATCCAACGCAAAGCCCATTTTATAATGAAGTACTTAATATGTAACACTGCATTCTGTACTGGAAGTGATAAACAGTGGCTGCACAGATCCAGTACGTGTGTCAGTTGATGCCTGTGATCCCAAGGCGTACTGGGAGCTGTGGCTCACTGCTGATCGCCAGCATCACGAGAGTGTCTTAGTGCACATCACTAGCCTGGGAAAGATCAATATTCAAAGTGTAGTTTCTACTAAGTGCGTATTGCGCTTTTGCACCACCAAAAAGCAAAAAATTGTTAACTCATCCTAAGTTGAGAGTCTGTTGAGTAAATAACTTGACGAAGTGTGGGCAAGTTATACCTACAAAACAGTCCATTTTTGCTATTTGTCTACCTGTTCTCTGAAGTCTTGCCAACATGTTTCTTTATTAAAATTTGTTTTACTACTTTAATAAAAGACACCTGCATTTCAATTTTCATTTCTTCAGAAATTAAGCATTTTTCCACCGTTTTAATTTATATTTCTGCTCATATGAATTGTTAATCTTCTACTGAAATCCTGGCATTTCGAAAATTCATTATATATTTTAAATAGAAACTTTTCTTCATATCTCTTACAAGAATTAAAATGCAGGTCCATAAACAGTTCAATTGAGTAGAATTGCCTCACTTTTTAAATCATCGTTTTTTGGTAGCACACTGCTAGTT